GATTCCATTTCTTTCCTATGCTGAGCATTCATGGCTTCCATAATTTTCTTAAGCTCCTCTATTTTTTTGTCTGTATCTGCTCTAGAGTCACTAAGCATGGTTTTCATTGTGGACACCATCTCTGCAGTTATATGAGAATTTCTGATTTGATTTTTTTCTACAGCTTTATTCAATTGCTTTGTTGTTACCACTTCAGACAGGCCAGAAGGGTGCCTTTCAGATTGTCCCACTTCATTGCCCACTGGGTTTGCCTTTGGTAAACTGGATGTCTAGGGTTGCATCTTGTTTCAGTTTCTCCTCATTTTCTTTTCTTTTTTAAGTTTAATTCCTGGGCAACTGCCTGTAAATTGCCTATGGTGAATTGCTTTATGGCTAGGATTTAGAACTCTTGGAAAATGACTACTTTCCCAAGGTATCTTCCTGGTTTACCCGGTTTTTGGGTTTTGAGTCTGTTGTTGCAAGATTGTACCTCTTCAGTTGGTTGGGGATGTGAAGTTGCTGCCTGGTTGGCGCAGCCCCTGGTTCTTTGGCACTGTGCAGTATTTTCTGTGACCCTTAGTCAATCTCAGTCTCGCAATACCAGGAAAAACAGCTGTTTAGAATAATTATGTCACTTTGGGCTATAGTGGTACCATCAGCAATGACAATAACATCACACACAGGCTAGAAAATTACAAATGAGCTAATCATTAATTTGCCACCTTTTAGGTGTATGACCTAGATTTTTTTGTGGTTATATAACAAAATCTAAAACAAACCAGAAGTGTATATGCAGTATGAGTCCTTAATATATCAATTTTGCCCTCAGGGGTTAAAATTTAAAGTGGGTTAGGGAGAAAACAGAGAAGTGGAAGAAGAGGAAGAGATTAGAAGTCAGGCTGGAGAACCAAGGAGTATCATGCTAACTTTGGGAAACTGGTGCAGAAGACTGGAGGGAAAGAGAGAAGGACAAGATAAAAAGAATAGAACAGAACCACAACCACAACCAAAGGCTAGAAACCATGTTTACACTCATAAAAACAAGATTATACAATGAAGGAGAAAAAAGCAAAAATAAAAATCAAAACGATCACCACAACAAAAAACAAAGAGGAGGGAGAGAGGGAAAAAAGGTAGACTTCTGGTTTGTCTTTGCTGTCGCTGGTAGACAGCTGTGTGTGGAGACAGAGTGCTGATCTGTGCTGATCTATCCCAGCAAGCCAGCAGTAGCATTTTGGCAGGGTAGTGGATAATCTGAGGGAACCTGCACCTTCTGGCCAAGACCAGTCATTTGGCTTGCAGCCATCAGCATACCTTCCATGGGCCTGACCCCAGCTGGGAGTCATTAGATGAAACCAGCAGCTGCTCTGAGTTTTGAGCTCAACCACCCCCTCTCCAAGATGGCTGCTGGCCAATTGCTCTCTCTTATGGGACTACTGAGCCCTCAGCACTCACTGCCAGCTAGTGTAGTCCTTCATGTCTGCTGCTGTCCTGTATGGCTGTGTCTCCGTGGAGGCCTATGCGGTTGCCAGCAGTTACTGTGTGTGCACAGGTTCGAATCGCTCCTCTTGTGAAGTGAGTCGCATCTCAGACAGAAGGCACCACCGGCTACCTCCTTTGTTGAAGTTTCTCTCCTCACTCTCTCTGTGGGCTTCAACTCATGCTTCAGGTCCTTCCTGGGTCCAGAGGACCCACCTTCCTCCTTGTCATCCTTGTGTTGCTCTATGCTAGCACAGAGAGACTGCTGCTTACCACTTTGCCATGTTGATACTTCCCTATAAAATATTTTATATGTATGAAAAATATAGACAGTGCTATATATGTCTTTTTATCTGCTGTCTAATTTTATCAGGTCTTCATGTTCGTCATTTTTAAGAAATAAAACAGTACAAATACAGTTCATGTTCATTGTTTCCCTGTCCTCTCATCCCAGTCCTCTCGTTTCACCCTTCCATCTCCTTGCCAGTCACTTACTGGTCTCAATTTGATGTCTATCATTCACTTGATTGGTTTGTGTCATTACCACACATACAAGAGCTTTAAGCAATGCATTATATAGCTGATTTTAAACTTTGTATAAATGTATCTCATTATTTCATCTTTGTCATCTTGCTTTTTTGGTTAACTTGTTTTTGAAATATATTGACACATGTAACTCTAATCTGTTCATTTTTGACTAAAATATCATTGTGTAAGTATAACACAATGTGCTTCTTAATTTTACTGTGCCTGAATGAATTATTCCTTTATTTTTATTTCATTGGTTTTTTTGAGGAGAGGTCTTGCTATGTAGTTCCAGGCTGGCCTTGAACCTGTGGCAGCCTCTTACCTCAGCCTCCCAAGTGCTGTAATTACAGGTGTGTGGCACCATGCCTGGCTATTCCTTGATTTTTAAAGGTAGACGAAAAGCTTAGATTTGTATGGATTTCACAAGTTAAACTGGCAGCTAGAACTTGCATCTGTAATGTAACTGACAAATAACAGGTCTGTCTCTTTCCTTTCTGACTCTAAACTGTTGGCATGGATTAATTGGAACCGTTCTTGGGAAGACAATTAGTAATTAGCTTATTTCTCTTTAATTTAAGGTCATTTTGAGTGTCCTCCTTATAATTCAGCTACAATAAGGAGTATATATCATGTGAGAAATATTGAAGTCTATAAATTAAAACAGGTATGTAAAAAGTACATTACAGCCAGCTTTAAAAAAATTTAAAAGTAATCATGTACTAAAATATGTTTTGATTATAGGGGTTTACTACTGAGAATAGCATTCAGTATTTTGAATTGCTTTTAGGAGGCTTAACAGAGGAAGTTTTAATTTTTTAATGGTTAAGAGGTTTTTAATGGTTTAGAATTAAAATGTGAAACATTTCATGATTTCAAATATAGAGTAAGGTTAAGGGATATATATTGAAATAAAGTGGCAGTTTATTTAAAATTACTTAGTGATATTAAATAATGAAAATAAGTAATGGGAAAGATGATAAAGGACACCAGAAAATTGTGAAGATGATGTTGAAACACTGGCTTAACTGGAGAGTAGGAAAAACTAGGTTTTTTTTGTTGTTTGTTTTGAGAACCAACTACATGGCTGATAGCTATAATTTTCACACATGGTATTTTGTGTAATCTTCACTCAAAGCCTATGAGGTAGGTCTTACTCTAACTTCTTTACTTAAGGGTAAGAAGCCAAGGCTCAGGCAAGTATGTAACCTGCCCAAGGCCCCCCATGTAGTTTAGGGCTTGTGCCTCTCTGTCTGTGTGCTATTTACATTATCCTTGCAGCCTCTTTAGTCTTTACTGTTAAGGATGCTTACAGGCCTTTTTTTTATATGCTGTTCATAGAGTTCCCTTGGATGGTTTTCCCTATCTAAATCTTACCAGTCCCTTAAGATCCAATTTAGATATCACTTTCGAAGCACAGCTTTTCTAGTTTAGAGTTATCACCCATCTCTGAATTTTTATTTCACCTATTGTCCAGTAGGTTATTTAGTGGTTAGTCATATCTGTCTTACATTTTGTATTATCTTGAATGGTTATTTAGGTTTTAGTTTTCCAAGTATTTGCTTCAGATTACTTGAAAGTATTGCAGATACGTATGACATGTTTTGTGACCGCTCCATGAAGACACTATTAAACAGAGAGTTTTTAGTGTATACTGTGTTAATCCATTAGATTTTTTTTTCCTTTCTTCTTTTGTTTGTAGTTCTGGGGAGTGAACCCAGGTCTTGCACACTCTAGGCAAGCACTTTTCTTACTGAGGAATATCCACATCCCTCTAATATTTTTTCTGTTAAATTTTTTATTTACTGTATCATTTGTATTAGAGATCTCATGAAATCTGGTGTTTCTGGATCTTCAAAATAGAAATTTCTATATTAAAAAACATAAAATAAATAGTAATTTATTTATCAATGGGAAGACTCATGGTGCTTATGTGGTTTAGAAATCCAGTGCTATGGACCTGCTGATTGGCAGTCTAATCAAAAAGTATGTCTCTGCTGCTCTGCCTGGTCATAGAAAATAGGATGATTTCTGAGGCAGAGAAAAAGCTACTTCTTTTTGCCTATGTGGAATGAGTAGCCTAATTTATTTTATGACTTCCTTAAGTAAAGGGTCATTAGAATGAATTACACAGAAATCTAGATATCTAAGTGTATATGTAGTTGGTGGTCGAAAGAGGGAGGGGAGAGATTTTAATACATTTTTAAAAGTTTTCTTTCCTTTTTTTTTTTTTTTTTTTCTGTTTTTAAAGCTGAAGCAGCCTATAGATATATTTTTATCTCACGATTGGCCAAGAAGCATATATCATTATGGAAATAAGAAAGAACTTCTTAAGATTAAATCTTTTTTCCGACATGAAGTGGAAAATAACACGTTGGGAAGTCCTGCAGCCTCAGAACTTTTAGAGCACCTAAAACCTACTTACTGGTTTTCTGCACACCTTCATGTGAAATTTGCAGCCTTGATGCAGCACCAGGTAGAAAACTATTTTTTCCTTTAACAAACACTTACTAACCAGGTATGAACTAGGCACTGTTGGCACAGTTGTAAAATTAGAGGAAGAGAAAAAGTAACCTACCTCTTGTGATTAACTCAGTACCCAGTGTGGTGGAGAGGCAAGTAAGCAGTTACAGAGCAGTGTAAATTTGGTAAAAAAGTGCTGGAGAGCAATTAAGCCATGTGGTCAGATGGAGATGGGGTAGAGATGAGGAGGTTAGAGAAAGCTTCCAAAATAATTGATGGCTGAGCTGAGTTTGGAAGTGCACGAAGAAACAGAGTCTAAGGGCATTTTAATACAAAAGACCAACTTGTGCAAAGGCCGAAGCGTTGAGAGCATGGTGTACTTGGAGAACTGTAGCTACTTTTTGTGGCTGGGAATGTAGCTTAGTCATTGGTATACTATGAAAGAAAAAAAAGAAAAAATGTTGACAATGTTAGGGATTTTTTTCTTGAAATCTTCTATAGAATTTCTGAGTTTTGTTTTTTTTGTTTTTGGTTTTTTGTTGTTGCTGTTGTTCCAGGACTGGGGATTGAACCCAGGACCTTCACACAGAGCTATATCCCAGCTATCTATGTATCTTATCTATCTGTTTATTTAAATTTTGAGAAGGATCTTACTGGGTTATACAGGCTGGTCTCCAAATTTTTATCCTCTTGCCTTAGCTTCCCAGAGTGCTCGGATTACAGGCTTGCTCCACCAGGATCAGCTTCTGAGTCTTTAATGCGTAATGGGCACTGCCTTTTTCAAAGTGGACTGTGAAGTGTAGTGCTTGTTTCTCAAAGTTAGTTGACCAGATACTTCTCCACAGTAGAGGTATATAACAATTTTCCTCGCAGTTTTGTCTGAAAATATTCTAATGCCCTTCTTGTTGTAGGGCTCTTCTTCTCCCTCCCTAGTTTTACAGGGAGAATGGCAGAGTTACTGTTTTCTTTGGGGCCTGTGCCACTCAGTGATCACACTCATTTTAAGTCCAAGTCACTTGTTTACATCAGTCACCTTTTCTCTGTAGGGTACTGTTGTCTGCCTCTTAGGGCTTATGGCATACTTAGATTTTTATTGAAGCATCTGATGGATTACCTTTCCCCCTACTCCATCTCCCGTTGTCAATCTCAGGGCATGCATGTCTGCATTAGTGATGTGTCTGATCCTTTCTACTGATTCCTCAACCTCCTCTGTCTTTGCCAGTGTTCTGTTTCAGCCCCTTCACCAATCTCTGTGCCTTCTGCTTTTCTCGGCGCGTCACCAGAACAGCGTTGGTACCTGGCCCTAAGTAGGCTGTACCGTAGCTTGTTTGCTTGTCTGTTTTCTCCTGCTGTTTTCAGTGAGTCACTTCTTTCCCTTTGGCAGTGCTAAGGATTGAACCTAGGGCCTCATGCATGTTAGGCAAGTGCTCTAGTCCTAGTGCCAGTGAGTTATTTTTGTATTGCTTTTAGTTTGACCTTCATGTTTGTGATTTCTCCCCTGTGTCTCTGCTGCTTCACTTTTTAAAAAATAGTTTTATTGGATTATAATATACATACCATAAAATGGACATACATTGCATGTGTATAATTCAGTGATTGTTAGTAAGTTTTCAAAGTTGTGCATATATCACATAATCCAGCATTAGGATGTATCTGTTATCCCAAAAGAACCTTTGTACTTGACTGCTGTTTGTAGTCAGTCCCTTTTTCCACCCTCAGCCCTAGATGACCACTGATTTGCATCTCCACTTTTGTCTGTTTAGACTAGTTCATAAAAATGGAATTATATCTAGTGTTTTACAGCTGGTTTCTTTCATTTCCTAGTTTTAAACAGTCATTCATATTATATCATAATCTGCATTTCATTTCTTTTTAGTGCCCACTGGCAGTAATCATTCCTTTGACACACAGCTTAGGGCATAGTAGATACTAAAGAGTATTTCTTTTCTATGTATGAATTACCTGCGATGTTTTAACATCTTAAATCATGGTTTATATTGTCTAGGCCATGGATGAAGGGCAGACAGCCAAAGCAACCAAATTTTTAGCCTTGGACAAATGCTTACCACATAGAGACTTTCTTCAGGTAAAAAGAAAACGAAGTAATTTTGCAACCTGGTTTTACTTTCCCTGTGATTTTAAAAAGTATTTTTAACTTTCCTTTGAGAATTTATTTATGCTGTGTGTGATTTATATATTCTGAGAATTTTTTGGAATATTTGTTACATGAATGCATTTAAAGTTAAATTGCTTGACTTAAAATTATTTAAATTAACTTTAAATCTCTTTAAATTTTACTAAGTTATACTAAAATTCTTGGACTCTTAAAAATATATATGTGTTACCTAAAATTGTTGGTTTCTTCATGTAGATTTTAGAAATAGAACATGACCCAAGTGCTCCTGATTACCTGCAGTATGATATTGAGTGGCTTACTATTCTCAGGGCTACTAATGATCTCTTTAATGTGACTGGGAGCCTATGGAATATGCCTGAAAATAATGGCTTGCATACAAAGTAAGTCTGATCTCTTTAGAACTTACCTTCTCTGATGCATGTACAATTTTGCTCTCCCGTCTTTTGTGTTCAGTTCCGGTGTTCCTAAGGACTTTGGTCTACAGAAAGTAGCAGGGGCCAGATTGACCATGTTTCTTGGGATTTCCGCACTGGGAAAACCTCCTACCGAGTGCCTGCCCAATGATCTGACACATCCAGTCAGACAAAGCAGTTGCCTAGGGTCTACAGCCTGGGGACGACTGGGGGCTGGCTAGCTGCAGTCTCTGACCCTAGCAGGCACTGGCTGTGAAGGCTCAATTTTGTTTTTATTCATGGGGTTATTGTTGAATAGGTGTCAGAACAATTCAAGGTTGACTGATTATTACAGTCAGAAAAACTACAAATTTTCCATCTAAGGGAAAGAGAAATGGACTGTTAAACATCAGCTCAGAGAAGTTTGTAAATGAATAAATGTACACAAAACTATAACATGGTGAAGATTTGGTTCACACATTAAAATAGTGATACTTGCTTTGAGGTAAAAGTTAGATTTTTTTTTTCCTAAGAATTTTTTTTTTTTATTTCTAGGTGGTCCTTTGCTGAATTAACTGTAATTTTACTGTATGGCATTTTGATACATGCTTCCTTTTTTATTCTTGCACCTGGAGTGTGTACTTGTTTCACCATTTATTCTTTTTTATTTTTTTTCACCATTTATTCTTGAGGCTGATAAAATGTAAAACTCAAATTGTTTTCACTTTTATAGGTGGGATTATAGTGCAACAGAAGAAGCTATGAAGGAAGTATTGGAAAAGTTAAATAACGACCTCAGAGTTCCATGTAACTTTAGTGTAACTGCTGCTTGTTATGACCCTTGCAAGCCTCATACACAGGTACAGCTGGTTCATAGGATCAACCCTCAGACTACAGAATTTTGTGCTCAACTTGGCATCACAGACATTAATATCAGGCTTCAGAAGGCCAAGCAAGAACATCATGTGTGCGGTGAATATGAAGAGCAGGATGATGTGGAGACAAATGACTCTGGAGAAGAGCAAAGTGAATATAACACAGACACTTCTGCCTTGTCCTCTATTAATCCAGATGAAATAATGTTAGATGAAGAAGACGAAGCCGAGGACAACATTGTACACAGTGATGTGAATACACCATCTGTAGAACCTTCTTCCCATCAAGCTTCTGACTTTTCTACAAGCTTCTCTGATGTCAGGGTCTTGCCAGGTTCCATGAATGTGTCTTCTGATGATATATCAGGTTCACCACCTGGTAGAGAGGGGACAGCTGATGAGGCTGTAGAGTTGGGGGATGGAAAGGACTTAACTGAGGTGCCAGCGAAGAGGCTGAGCGAAGAACATGAACCTGAGCAAAGGAAGAAGATTAAGAGGAGGAATCAAGCCATCTATGCTGCAGTAGCAGATGATGATAACGATGCAGCGTAAGACAGTTTACGTGTCCTGGTGTGATATGTAGATGATTTTCCAGGCCCTATTTTTAGAGTTAGATTTTTGATTCAGGATTTAATTTTGTAATAATGAAGTGTCAAGAGCATTTTAGTTAGATACTGACTTTGTCTTAGAGCTTTTGTATGTTTTGGGTATAAACATTAAAATTTTATATATTTACTTCATGACTACCTTTTTTTGAAGACATTCACTTCCAGTTTTTCAGCAAACACTGCACATGTACTTTGTGCTGAGCACTTTTCTCTAAGATGGAACTGTAAAGATAAGACAGGGATTTTTGTCTTCAAAGAGTTACTGTAAATGTTTGATGTATAAAATATGGCATATTTATATTTTACTTTACAAATTTGCATAACTATTGTACATGTACCTATGTATGCTTCTCATTTTTTATAATTTTTCCCTTGGTCAGATTTTAATGTCTGTCAAATATAAATTGAAGATTTCAATATTTTAGGAAATAAATTATTGTAAATACTAACCAGTGGTAAGCTTGAATTCTTAATAGCTGAAACTATAACCATTGACTCTTGCATATTTTAGTTTTAATTTTTCTATAACTGTATTATCTATGTATAGGTCATTTTTGGCACAGTTAAGCTTAGTATTATTTATTAGTGAGGACTCAGTTGCATAAATGCTGTCCTTCACACTGCATGATGGAGTGGTAGGGTTAAACCAGTTTTGAAGATCCATGTGGCAAAATCACATCTCTATTGTCTGGATAAAATGCCTGTGCCTCCAAAGGACACTGTTGGCCTAGACTTTGGGTCAGGAATAATGAAACCCAAAAATCACTCTGCTGTTGGTAGGCACGCTGCTACACACCTGTATTCGCAGCACTGGGGAGGCAGAAGGAGAAGACGTGTGAATTCAAGGCCAGCCTGAACTACATGGTGAGACCCTGTCTCAATAAAACAAAAACAAAATTATTCTAGTGCCTCATCATCCTACAGTCCAAATCCTGGAGCAAATTTAGGAAAATGATGTAGTCGTTGCCTTTCATCAGGTTAGCATTTGCCTTGATAAAGGTGTAAGACAGTAATGGCAAATCTTTTAGAACTTTCAGCGACACAAACAGCCCATTCTGGCACTCATGCAGTAGTCCTAGTCTTGGACTTTGGGGCTTTTATCTTTAGTTTCTTTTTTTTTTTTTAGCTGAATATTTGTTTTAATTCTTATTTACATGTAATATTTAAAGCTCTGAATTTTCCTCAATCGCTGTCTTAATTGAATCCCATAATTTTGATATATAGTATAATTTTCCCAGAAAACAACTTTGAATGGTAAAACAGTGCACAAAATTTATCCCAGTGCCAAAGGCACTGGGAGTATTAAGTTCTTGCTCAGAAATTCTTAAATATAAAAGCAGAAAGTAGATATAAAACAAATGTTAAAATTAATACATGTCCTCAAAAATAACACAAAAATAAAGCTTACCTAAGCAAGAAAGTAAAATGTGAATACAAAAAAAGCCCTGAAAGCAATATTCAGACAAAATTCTGTATGAATTGGTGTAAAATTGATAAATGGATGGTTAATTTCCTTGGAAAACGAGTTACTGATGTTCACCCTGGTAAGAATGGAGAGTGAAACATTTTCATAGGAGTAGAGAAAGCTATCAATTATCCCCATCCAAAAGCACTCCCATCCGGTGGTTGCAGGGGAAACTGCCACACTTTCTAAAGGCCAGACAATCGTAGTGTTACGTAAACCTCCAAAATACATAAAATGATGGAAAGTTCAGTTTTTGTGAAACAAGTGTAACATTGATGCCAAATTGAAAAAATGCCAAAAAAAAACCCATCATAAGTCAGTCTTGCATGTATTGATGCAAAAGTCTTAAAATAGTAGCAAATTTATAGCACATTTTAAGATGATTTGACATGATCAATACAGTGGGGTTTGTCCTGGTTACTTTTCTCTCATTGGTGAAACAAAATACCTGACACCGAAAGTAAGGAAGGAAAGGTTTACTTAGCTCACAGTTTGTGGAGGTTTCAGTCCGTAGTCAGCTGGCCCTAAGGCAGGGTGGCACATGGCAGAGGGCTACAGTTCAAGGCAGCAGAAGACAGCAAAGCAACAAGAGCAAAAGGGGGCAGAGCAAGCCTCTTTCGCCTCTTACATTGTATGCCAGCTACCTGCCTACAGCATCTCAGTGCCCTCCTGTTCCTCAAATTCAGGATAATTACAAAGGGAGGATCCTGGCCCCCTGCTGAGTCACTTAGTTAAGCTTCTAAACATCTCAATTCTCAAGCTGACACAATGTATCAACCATTACAGGGCTCCATGTTAGAAGTCTCCTCATGTGATGGACATATTAATAGATCCAAGGATAAATGATGATCTCCATGAGTAATGAAAAGACTTAAAATTCAATACCCACTTAGGATTCTGTTAAAAAAAAACCAACCAACCAGATCTAGCATGTTGCTTAAGAAAATACTAAACATATCTGTCAAAGCCAACTAAAGGTAATGCTACTTATACTTCTATGACATTTCACGTTTGTCTTGGGAAGAACAAAATCAAGCAGTGTAGTGAGGGAAATCAGAATTGCAAAGGAAGAGAGATCTAGATACAGGTTATGTGACAGTTTAGGTACAAAATAAAAACCTAAACCAATATAAATAATAATCCTCAAAAAAAGTAAGATATAAAATTAATGTACAAACCAGTAGTTTTCACAATGTTACGAATAATACGTAAATAACAAAAAGAGCAACTTAAATGCCCAAGAGGTATAGAGAGGAAAACCTTAAAATGCAACTGAAAAATACAAAGACTATGAAAAAACATTTTTTATTCTTGGATAGATTGAACTTTTTTATTAGTACATGTTTGCAGTACCCAATGTTTACATTCCTGTGAGGAGTTGGTACAGGTACATAACACATCTCAATTCCTTTTCTCATCCCCTTTCTTTCCCCTTCCCCTTCCATCTTGATCCCTTTCCCCTTCGAGAAAGATATATCTCCCTATTTGTATTATCTACCTTTTATTTTGCTCTTCACACTTTAGGTTTCTCACATAAGAGAAGCCACACAATATTTAAACTTGTGTGTCTGTTTTATTTCATTTAACATTACGATCTCAAGGTACATTCGTTTTCCTATAAATGAGTTTATAGGAAGTTTATCTTTATGGCAGAGTAGTACTGCACATGTTAGTACTACATTTTATTTATCCATTTGTTGATGGACATACCGACTGCTTCTAAGATTTAGCTAATATAAATTGTGCTGCTATATACAGTGTATATATCACTGCGATGTGGCTTAACTCTTTAGGGAAGATACCTAGAAGGGAACTAGTGTCAAATGGAACTTCTAGTTCCAGTTTTTTGAGGAATATTGATACTGATTTCCATAGTGATTGCACTTATTTATATTACCATTAGCAGTGTAGAAGGGTTCCTTTACCCCGCAGCCGAGTCAGTATTTGTTATTATTTAATTTGATGATGGACATTCTTTCAGGGATAAGATGAAATCTCAGTTGTGGAGAAGGACATTCTTTGATTAGAAAGCACTGATGACACACAATGATTTGTTCATTGTTGCAGAAATGAACTGAAACCTTTCACTTGAAGATGAGAGTGTATTTGAATTGCAGGAGGTCCCTACTTTTTAGTCTTGCCATGCATTGTAAAAATTAATGGGAAGTAAGGACTGTAATTGTAGTGGATTGATTAGTGGTGGTCAACTTATAATTCCAGCTGAACTGAGTAAGCGTGGTGCTGGGTGTAGGAGGCCCACCTGGGGATTGTTTCCAGCAGCATAAGAGGCAGAATTGGAGAAGGATTATCCTTTAATTACTAAAACGTTTGGTATTTGCTCATTTGTACTAGCTACGCCCTTAGTTCTGGCTCAATGAAAGGTGACTGAGATTGGTAATTGGGGCTGCAGTCCGAGAGGCTGTGAGCACCCTGATCCCAGACTTTTGCCTCTCTTGTTTTTCTTGTCTCTCTTACTTTTATTTTCATCCACGGGCACTTAGTTCTTGGGACCTGTCACCCTGGATAGAACGACACTCGGTGTTTTTATTTGCATTTTTATAATGGCCAGTGATATTATTGGCCATTTGTACTTCTGTCAATTGTTCATTTTAATTGCCTGTTTTTTGATTTTTTTGCCCATCTTTTATGTTGGGGGCTCTATATTTTTTGAGTTATTTATATATTCTAAATATGAATCCTCTCTCTGAGTAGTTGACAAAATCTTTTTCCTCTTCTGTAGGTTATCTATTTGCTCTATTGGTTGTTTCCTTTGCTGTGCAGAAACTTTAATTTGATATGATCCATTTATTGATTCTTGGTACTATTTCCTGGGTGACTGGGGTTCTATTCAGAAAGTCCTTGCCCATGGTTATGACTTAAATGTAAATATTTTATTTTAAAATTTTATTTTTGTATTTCATTTCATTGAAGGTTGAACCCAAAGCCTTCGCATTGCACTACCTCCCATGTCCCTTTTTTTATTTTTTATTTTGAGACTTCTTGCTAGCTTGCCCAGGCTGTGCTTAAACTTGGCAATTCTCCTAAGCCTCGCAGAGTACTTAGAATACAGGTGTGCACCACCCCACCCCTTGTTCCAACATTTTAAAGATTTTTATTCTTCCCAAGTTAATGTGTAAATGTAACATCATTTCAATAAAAATACCTTTCTGCTTTTCTGGAATTAAAATGATTTTAGTGTTCATAATGGAGATTTGGAAGAGACAGGAATGTCCCCCAGAAGGGGAGTAGGAGTATATTGGCTATATCAGAGATCAAAGGATACTATAAGGCCATTATTAAAACAAGATAATGTTGGTACATGCACGGACAGATCAGTGGAACTGAGAAACCAGAAATAGTGTCTCATATTACTCAGAAAAGAGAAAATGGTTTAAATAGGGTTGGATATGTGCATATTCATTTGGGAGGAAAGAAACATAGATTTATAGTTTATATAACAAAAAAGTCCTAAAGATACATCTCCACAATTAGAACATAAACACAAAATTATTTATTGTAGAATTATTTGTAATAGCAAAAGATTGGAATAAGTGTTCATCAGGAGAAGATTAAGACAAACACCTGATGGAGTAATACAAAGCTTTACCCAAAAGAAACAGGGTAGAATAATTTGTACAAAAACGTTCATAGCAATATTACATATGATAGCCAAAAACTAGAAGTAAATGTCCATCACATGAACTTACAGGTGTAATCATACAACAGAATGATCATACAATAGAATGTTATTCAGCATTAAAAAGGAATTAGGAACGGATACAATATGGGTGAATCTTGAAATCATTAGAAGAAGCCTACAATATGGGTGAATCTTGAAATCATTAGAAGAAGCCTGGCACCAAAAGACCATGTGTGGTATGATTCCACTTATATGAAATGTTGAAAATAAGCAAGTTTATAGAGCCAGGAGATTATTGGTCACCTAGAGATGGGGGAAAGAAGTAGAGAATAATGAAGAGTGAT